CTTTCCTTGTCTGTGCGTGTATGGGCTGTGTGGCAGGAGTCAGCAGGTGCAGAAGGTACAGGCACACTGGCAGTCTCAGAGGGCTAGTAAGAGCCACTTACGGAACCCATAAGAGTTGGCACTGTGAGAAACAGTCTATTTTAAACTTACATTTCAGTGAAGAGTAAAAGATCAAATGTGTTTATAATTATTGCCATCATGCTAGCTGACAACAGATTGACCCTTTCCTCCATGCACCACCCAACTCCACCAGTGTGCCTGAGAGCTGTCGTCAGCCAGGTCAAAGAGGATATTTGCAATTGCACAAAGCTGTCTGTCTAACCCTGCACGTTTAATGTCAGCACCGATGAGTGATGCTTGGAGACTCTCCAGCCATGGGTTAGCTGGTGACAGGAATCCCCAAGAGTAGGGTAGCTGCTGTGAGTAATTGGTCAGGAGCCTGGTGCATACCAAAATATTCAGAAATAAGCAGCAGGAGCTTTCCTGCAGGGTCCAAGGGACTTTGTGCTTCTAATTCCGAGGCTAGAATATGAAAAGCGTGCTGTTTTCCTCACTACCTCACAAAAGCGGTGGCCTGTGATGTGGTCATCACTCAGTTGCAATCGAACAAGTTCAGCCAGGTAGCTCCAGTTGCTGCTGTTGGTGTCCAGGCATGGGGTTGTGGGGAGTGGGAACTGTTAGCTTTTCTTTTTCATGTATTACTTGCCCTTTCCCTCAGTGTGTCACCTTCAAGGTTGACCGTGCCCAGGGCTCAACAAGGCTGTGCTTGCTAATGTGCAGCAGCAGGAGTGCCTCCTTTACTTTGGTGCTGGCAGAAATAAAAGCTACTGCAAAGCTGAGAGTCGTTTTCCCTCTTATAATGGTAACACCAAAAATGTTGTGTGACACTGACCCAAAGTTCCCAGGTTGTGGTTGTTACATTTGTTGTTGTATTATGACTATAGTTATTCTAACACATCAACAAATGTAATCTTTTGTTTTCCCCTGCCTCAGAAAAAGAACTTCTCATCTTCCAGTGATAGACATCTTGGCTCTGACAGAAATTCAAGCTCTTCTACTTTGTGCCTTCAGCCTCCTGAGGCCACCAAAAGTGCTGATAGTGGAAAAGAAGGTCTAATGAGTAGTAGCAAATCCTACATATACATTAAATCCCCAATGCATTCTGTGTCACAGAATATGTTGGTAGCCTCTCATAAACTACTTGCAGTAGTTTATGTCTCCACTAATGTGTTTCTGAAGGCAGAAGCCCTTTTCAATGCATTGCAGATGGACTAATGTGAAATAAAAACATTGTGGACAAATGTAGGGAGCAGAGTGTCAGCAACCAGTCAGGAGGAAAGGCAGATCTGGTTTGCTAGGCATACATTACAGTGTGTAGCTAACAGTGACAGCAGATACGTGAGTTGCTCTGGCTTTCTTGGGGAGATACTGACCCAGAATCCACTTGGAGGGAAGAATAACCATTACTTTAATGATGCAAAATCAGACTAGATTGAAACAGCAGTGACCTCATCATGGCAAAAAAAATATTGACTCTGACTTTTGTTGGGCAGAAGTTAGTTCACTGAAGCTTGCTCATTTAGGAGTGATAAATATAAGAATGCTTTGTTGCACTCGTTCTTGCCTCCTACTCTGATGAAATGAACTGTCCAGGAGCTCTGGCAGACAGGGAAACCTAAGGGGTATTTAATGACTTGCAGAAGCTGAAGGGAGAATCATTAGCACTCAAGTGTCTAGGTAACTCTCTTGAAAGCTAAGATTAAAAGCTTTGATGAAAGTGACCTTCACGCTTGATGTTCCCTCTCTGCTTTTCTCCACACTTGAAGCTCCAATAATCACTTTTTTCCGCTTTGTCACTCTATCACTTAATTCATGAAATATTTCCATAGCTCAGCAGGAATTTGGATCCAGGCTACTAATATCTGCCAGCGTTGGGTGGATGCAAAACAAAGGCTGATTGATACAAAGGGTCAGATCTTATCTTTTTAGTGAACTGAACAAAAACTGGACATAGATTGCTAGATACAGGTTTTTAATATTTTAATTAATACTTGATTACAAGTTTAAGAAAGGATAAAATTATCATTACATGTTTCCTTGAGTACGCCATGCTGTCCCTTCTGAGCAGTGCAAAAATTTGCTGGAGAGCACAAGGAGAGCATGTTGGGAATGGAAAGAGTATGTACAACCAGGGCCTTGTAACCCTGGGGACTCTTGGGCAGCAGACTGAAAATGCAGAGCATGCCAAAAGAGGATGACGTGTAGTCATGTCTAGACCAAATGAGAGGACAGGGAAGAAAGATGATGTGGCATTTGAGTAGAAAGGAAATGAAAAAAAGAAATATCCAACACTTAGAAATAAGGAGAGCATTAAGTGCCAGGCTGGAAGACAAGAGTAAGAAGGAGCCATTTGGGAAGGAATTCCCTGGGGCAGTTTTCTTTAGTTTTGATTTAAAAAATTGCAGCAGGCTTTTGTAATTGTGACTGAAACTGAAATTAATGGCCCCATTTGAGATACCGGTGCTTGATTGCTTGAGACAGGGAATAGTTTAAATAAAAACAATGAATTTCTCTTTTAAGAGCATTAAAGTTTTATTTTGCTTGAAGTGGAACTTTTCATAGGATGTTACTGGCATAAATCATGCTGATGTTTCTTTAGCTTACAGTGAGCAAAAGAGTAAAAAGTTTGTTTTCCTGCATTGAAGTAATTATTTTAGCTTGTTTTTCATTCTGAACTTTTCACTGAAGTAGAAAAAGAGAAAATAACAGTTTTACCAAAAATTAGGCTTGTGATTTTTGAAGCTCTTAAGTGTTCCTGGAGACATGGAGGACTCATAACACATTCTAGAGTCATTTCCTCCTAATACGCATGGAAAAAAATCTTTCTCTGATGTCAACTACAAGTGCATACAGATGAAGGTACATAACAGAGAGGCTTTTTCATTGCCTTGCAGAAGTCTTAGTCTGACTGACCTTCTTGTATAAAGTTTAAAACTCAGAATGGAGTCAGGCTCTTCTCTGTGGTGCCAAGCAATAGGACAAGAGGCAACAAGCAAGCTGATGCACAGGAAGTTCCACCTGCATATGTGGGTCACTGTTGCCCAGAGAGGTTGTGGAGTCTCCCTGGAGATATCTGAGAACTGACTGGATGCAGTGTGCTCTAGGATGACCTTGCTTGAGCAGGGAGGTTCGACCAGATGACCCACTGTGGTCCCTTCCAACCTGGTCCATTCTGTGATTTTGTGTTCACCCTTCACAGGCAACTGAGATGCCATGTCCCCCTGGTAAGTCTGGCATTGGAGCACTGTACCCTTGTAGGTCTTGAGTTGATGACAAGTGATGCTGTCGGGCTGCTCTCAACACAGTGAAATGCTTCTTGTCCACTCTGGAGAAGAGCAGTTACTCCTCCAGGTATCAGAGATAAGCAGTGCCTTCTCCAAATATCCTCAGACTGGAAAAGAGCCCTACATTTTTAATCAGCAAATAACTTTGGATAAGGCTCAGCGGAAGAGGTGGTATTAATTTTCATAGAGATTGGGTTGTGGGAAAAGTAGCATTATTCTATCACAAATTAATTGTAGGTACCCAACCGTCATGTAACCTATTAAGTATCTCAAGATATTTTCATCTTTGTTACTTCATTCCCGCTGAGAATTTGTTCAGGACGTGTTAACTTACAAGTAATATATAAACAAGGTGTGAACAGTTCAGTTAAGTGGTAACCTGAGGTTAAAAACACAGTGATCAAATTCAGTGTCTGAAGTTGGCAAGGAGATTGTCTTACCACCTTGGGAAGACTTGAAATTAAACTTGTTTTGAAATGTAGGTGTTAAGTCTGTGAAAAAAACCTCACTTGTGCATGTAAATGAAGCGGCTTTCCAGAGTTGAAGAGAGCACATTGAGCTCTTAGGCTGCCTTAGGAGAGAGAGGGCCTGTGCTCCCACCATGTAACCTCTCTGCTGGGGTTGCATTTTGCAGCATCTATAGAGAGAAAATCCTTAGGTAAAATCAGAGCTGTGCTCCCTTTCTGGCTGCCCTCGGCCCCTGTCACCAACATCAGGCAGGGCTGTGCTGTCAGCTGCTTGTGCTAACAAAGACAGCTTTTGGTTTATTTTTGTTGGGCTTCTGAGACCTTATTAACTTGAAGAGAGTTTTTGGAGATACTGAATTTCTGCACTGTGCTTATGTTTAGCTTTTTGTTCTCCCTGGTGTTGCCTTCAAGTAAATGTATGGGGAGTAGCCTTAAAAGGAGCAAAAATTCCTTCCCATTTTAGAGTAGACAGGAGGAGAATTAAGCTCCTTCACTCATCAACTGGATATTCTGACTGCCGTGGCTTTTGAAGATGATCATGTATTTTCCTGTGTGTAATGGATTATGCATGTGCCTGTGAACTAAAAGGTAGCTTGGCTGTGAAGTTCCAGCGAGTTTTTCTCTACAATCATTTTAGTCTGATTATTCACCTTGTAGACTGACCACAGACATATACCATCCTAGCCTACAGCATGAGGCAGGACAAGTTCTCCAGCAGTTGTCTTACATTCCCCTCAAGCCGTAGGCAGTTGGTGACTGTCTGGGACCCTTTGGAAAATGAAAGCCCTCGCAAGGTTACAGTATTGAGACTTCAAATGAATGTGGGAACAGAGGCAGAAGTGGACTGGATGGGAAGCTCCTTAAGCTGGTTGAAGTGTAACCCAGTTCATCTGTGGAGCAAACAACACCTTTCTGTCATCCCTGTTCGATAAAAAAAAAAGCACAGTTGCATGCAGGTGACTTGTCAGTGTCCAACCACTGTCTTCAAAGCTTGTCTGTTGTCTCAAGATTTCTAATCTCAGGGTTTAAATTTGGATGATAGCTGTGTCTCTAGGTCTGTGTTTGTGCAGTAATACACATGGTATATTTGAAGCCCATCCCACCAGCAGGGCTCCAAAGTACTCATGATATGTAAACGTTACAATCACTGTTTTGCATAAACCACAAAGTCTTTCCTTTCTTTTGACAGATTGAAGACATCGTTACAAGAATGCAGGATGACAAAACAGGTGGAGTTCCCATCCGCACTGTCAAGAGCTTTCTGTCCAAAATCCCCAGTGTCGTCACCGGTAAGAACCCCAGTTAACAGAGAAGAGAACATAAGCTGGTACTTGCTGACTATAAGGAAACATACTAAAGCCACAAAAAAGAAGGAACATAAGAAAAAAACACCTCCCTCTGCTTAATTTTTCTGGATGTTGTTCTGTTATAGACTGAAGCATTGAACAAAGGTTTTTTAATTATGCTTTAATAAGCAAGCATTTTCTACTCCTGACACTTTAAATTTATAATGTTGTGTATCTTTGTAAAGCAAATACAGTTTTCTCTATCTTGCTGAGTCTCTTTCCAAATCAGACCAGATACTCACACTGATGAGTCTGTTTAGGGAAGTTTCCCCTCCTGCTCTGAAAAGTGAGGGGCATCATTTTCTGTGACTGTGACTATGCTGCAGTAAAATTCAAATGATCATTAAAAATGCCAAAGTTGCATTGTTGGATTTAGACACCACCAATAACTGAGAGAAGACTGGGACTTCAAAGGGACCTTTCTTGTTCTTGGGATTTTTATGCTGTTATAAAGAAATAGGAAAATTCCTCCTGTCAACAGGGATACTGGCAGTGCAGCTGGTGTCAAGCTATTGCCAAGAGGGTTCCCTGCAGGGGAATGTATGTGAGCTGAAGCACTTAAAAAATGTTTTTACTGTAAAAATTGTTGGATTGAGCAGAGTTTCACGTTGTTTTTGATAGATTCAGGAGTGTGATTTGATTTCCTTGTATCAGAAAAAATGTTCAACTTAAGCTACAGGAATACAAATCTACAGGGTTCCTGGGGGTAATTCACAGAATATGAAAATTGGTATGACGTTTTTACTTAAATGCACCTCAGTCCAGTTATTTACTTTTTATTGAGCAACAGGCTCTTCTGTTTGAAATTGATTTCAGGGTGGTGACTCAGTATAACTGGCAGTTTCAGGGTTAGGGTTTTACAGGAGAAAATGAACATGAATCCAGAATGAGATGTGAAAATTATGTTACTAAATTGCAGGTTATGGCTGGATCAAGTATGAGCTAACTATTCTTGAAGGTTCCTGGGGGAAAAAATGGTTTTCTGATTTGAAAACTCATTGCATAAGCTCAAGTCTGCAATACGCAAACTGAATGTCTTAGGATTGACTCAGCTAAAACAGGTATTTCTGTTCATATTCATAGCATTAAAAAATTTAATTGATCTAATCATCAAGGTACCTCGTGTTACTCAAAAGAAAACAGAAACAGGAGACCTCACAGTGTCTTTAAACCGTGGTTAGGAGCTCCCTGGCACAATTGAAACAGCTCCTTTGCATTCTGTTCTGGAACAGGAGCTGCAATTGAGTTGTCTTGAAATGGTTGGTTTTCACAACATGGAATAGTGAGAGGGTGAATTAAAAATAAGAACAAAACCTCTCTCCAGGGCTCTTAGAAAATTCTCAGATTTGGAGGGAACAAGCTCAATACCATTCCCTTCAGATGATTTGAAGACAGCTCCCTTGTAATGCATGGACAGTGCATGAAGCCTCTGAGTTTGAAAAGTATAGGAAAATAATAGCCCAGCTAAGAGCCTAAAGTCTTCTCCATTTCTCATTTCTCCTTTCAGATGCATAGACCTGCCCATTTGTAGACCAGAACCAAAAGAAATATATATATAATATCAGTACTTGTGATGGATGAAGAGGCAACAGCATTTACATTTGAATGGAAGCTGAGGACACTGCATTTGTTCAGTCTGGGGAACAAAAAACTGAAGGGAAAGAGAGGCTATAGAGAAGACAGGGTCAGATCCTTTCTCAGGAGTGCATGGTGAAAGCACCAAAGACAATGTACACAAGTTGCAGGGAAAGAAATCCCAACTAGAGTTAGATTTAGGAAAAAAGCTATTTATGATCAGAGCAGCTGAGCATGGGCCCAGTGGCCTGGAGAAGCTGTGGAACCAGTGGTTTGCAGCTGTTCAGGAACCCCTGAGACCAGCTGAACTGAGCAGTCTGACCTAAATGTGCATTTGGTCTTGCTTTGGATGAAGTTTGGACTAGACAACCTGCAGAGAATCTTTCCAACATGAATTATTCTTATGATCATTGGATACCCAGTTTGAGTGCTTGTCTAATTCCACACAAGGTCATGAACACGCAAGAGGAAGAGCTTGTATTTTCAAAAACGTGGTACCCCCTCTTGGGAAGAGATTAATTCTAGAGCCTGGCATTCTCACACACTTTTTATTTCTACCTGAAAAATAAAACAGCAATGCTGAGATGTGATTTACTTGGCAGGCTCATAGTGACTGTGATTAACAGGGATTTATTTTTGCTTGACACTTCTATTGTAATTGCTTCTCACAGGAGAAATGTCAAATCTTAGAGAAAAAGAAATATTACAGCAGTGCCTTGGTGCTCTAAACAGGCAGCTCTGTTTATAGTACAGCAAAGTGGGTGTTTGATTTAAAGTTTGAATACCAGGGAAAGAACTGCTCATCTGTGTTTTGCTTTCATCTGTCCTGATGCCTTAGGTGTGAATGAGACATTGGGTAATATGATGAGAAGGAGCCTCAGGGAGTTATCATTAATGGTCTTCTCTTGACAACAGGAATCTGGCAAAAAGGATGGAAACAACTTTTTTGAATGTATGATTAGTCTGCATGGGGATGCTGTGCCAAAGACACATTTTAATCTGCATTAGAAATAGATTTGTGTACCCTCTTCTCCAGCTTTTGGCTCAAAGTAGGTCAGTCAAAGGAGGACATATCACACCATTATCTTGGTTAAATCTTCACTTTTACAGGCAAGCCATAGAGAATGAAAGTAAGATGGAACCAGTCTGTGTGGCATCTGTGTGTATGTGTCAGACATTGTCCAATGTGAAGTTTGGAGTATGGAGTGAAAAAATGCCTGAGGGCAGGTGTTGAGTAGTGTTGTGATCCATGCCCAGAATGGATCGTCAGCCAGTGCGCATGATGGCAGTTGCTGCAATAAAAGGAGTTGCACATTTGTCTTTTAGTGAGAAAAAAATTCCTCGGTAATGATTTTGTTTCTGTAAATGAATTGGCAATTCTCTATTTTCCCAGTCATCAGACTCTTGTAAGAACATCTCATTATACTAACTAGCAACAGAACTGGTTTTCTCATCTTCTTTTCAATTTTCATATAATTGCATCTTAAAACTAACCTTCTTTTTGTTAGGAGGACCAAAACCACACTTTCTTCTCCCATTGATTCAGACTTGGTCCTATACAACGTTGCCAGAACAAGTCAGAAGGAAGTCAGTGCTGCAACAGCTGAGCTTTCCAGTGCAAAAATCCACCTTTATGCTTCTCAGTCTGCTCCACATTCCCAAACTCATTCCAGGTTCTCCTGGTTTTTTTGTGTACTGATTTTGTACCAGCATCTTTGCTGTCATAACCCAAGGGAGAGATGCAGCCTAAAATCTTTCTATTCTGCCCTCCTCCCAAGAGGTTTTGATACAGCTGCATTCTGACTCATACCCCCAACTTCAAGCGGGCCTGTCCCCCCAGCACCATTTTGAGTGATGCCTCATCCTCCCAGCAGCAGTCCCCTAGCTGGTCCCTTGCTCGCTCACTGCTCCTCACCCCTGCACTCACTTCTCTTCTTGTGCTGCTTCCAGAGCTGTCCGAGTGGCTGTGAGCAGATTGATGTCCTGGCTGCACTGGCTTGGCTTAACTGCTGCCATGCAAGCTTCGTGCACACAGCTCTGCCAGTGCATTTCACTCCTGTCCTGTCATGTCTGTCTTATGTAAGTCCTGGACCTCTCTGAGCAGAAAGTGCCAGTATTCCTGAAATGTGCCAGATGGCCTGTCGCTACTCGAGACTCAAGAGCTAAACCAAGTTTAAACTGCCGTGTGTCTCTTGTCTGAAGAAGCCAGCATGTGTCTTGGCAAATGCCTATGGAGTTGTCCCAGAACACATCAGAATGTCACTCACTCAAAGAAAATGCATTTGGCTGGAGTACAGAAATCCCACAGTGTTGTGAAAGAGAGACTTTATTATTGATAGAGTTCCCTGGTGATGTAGTTCAGGCCAGACAAGTTCTGCTGGAGGATTTCATATACCCATCGCGAAATGAGATTTCTGGAGCCAGTCTTGAGGGTGTTGCCTTTTTCCTTCAGAGGAGCTCAAACATAGCTCTCATCCAGATATGGCAGCCAGAGGCACAAGGGAGAAATGAGTTCCTTGTGTCCAGGGTTTGAAAGGCCCCTGTTCAGAGGAACTTAAAAAAAAAGATGTTGTGGTAAGGGGAGTAGAACTGGGACTGGCAATGCTGGCCAGAGCCAGTACCCATCACCTAGCAGGGCCTGGAGAGCAGGCTGCAAGGCTGAGTGCTTGGCCAGGATGTTCACTTTCTTAATGCTATTTTTTCAGGGGTAGAACTTGCGTTGGTGCCCTACAGAAACTACTTTCCTTGGGACCAAAACCTCCATGAGCTGACTACAAATGGATTTGTCTTCCCTAGGCTGTCTGTCCAGCTGCTTGCATCACCTACCCATAGGGCTTTAACTGCAGGACTGAGTCTGGTAAAGATTTCCCTCAACATCTGGGTGGTTTTGTTCTAGATCTTATTCTGTCTTTCCTCTGTGGTTTTGCTTTGAAAAAATAGGACACTTGAAATGTAGTACTGTCCCTTTTTCAGGCAAAGTTAGTAGATGTAGATAGTCCCAAATATAAACCAAATTCAATGTTTTACTAAACATGAATGAGCCTATTTAGTTAAAACAAGCAGACAAAACCCACAGACAGACAAAAAAAACCCCAAACAAACCAAAACAAAACAAACCCCAAAAAACCACAAAAAAATTGCCAAAACTTAAATCAATATCCAAACTAATTTTGGGGTGTTTATTGATTTGTAAATAGTACAAAGAACATGCTCGTGGGTTAAAATTGACATATGTTTAAATGTGCATATATAGTAGTGTATAATTTTTGATAGTTTGCCACATTGATATACAGCAGATGCTGCACAGTAAATTCAACAGTTTAGCAATTACTTGGTGGAAACTGGCTTGCCAGATACTGGTCGAGCAT